AAATAAGATCAAAGGGGGAATAGTCAAGAAGACTGACTGAATGAATTCAATTTATTTTTTCCTCTCGTTCAAAAGATACTCATCGGAAAAGAATATACGAAAAATATGATATATCAAATTTATCTAACAATAATTCCATCTCAACCCCCTTCCCTACCCCCATAGAAAAGAACTTTTTAAAACCGTTTATAACCCTTCGTGCCTTTAGTTTTCTTGAATCTTTTTGTAATTGCGACAAGACGAGGTACAACATACATGTTGTGTTCGAATTCGGTCTATTTATTAAAGTACCTTGAGTTTAAACGTTTATTTTAAAAATACCTTTGAAAGGCGCTAAAGTTGATGGTGACCACAGAACGTTTCGGCAAATTCATCGCGTCTAGATGTTGTTTGTGAACATTAGTAACATTGTAGTTTACGGCCTCGTAATATTCGATGTTTTGAATAGCGATCTCTGTGAAAAATAAAACATGTATACGTCAGCAAAATTAGAATGGCGTATACACTGTAAGTTTGAGCTTCAACAAAACATCAATAACAACTAAAAAAGAAAAAAATAAGGCTGCCGGGAGAGAAATTCTAGTATTTTTGAATCATACTAAGGTAAACAAAAAATCAAACCGGGAAACAACTTGGCAAACTTTTATAAAGCCCTTTAATAACATTTTCATTTAGCAGAACTTTTGACAGCTGAGAAAATCTCCTAAGATTCACGAGTTTTTCTCACCTTTCACGTCTTCAGTTAGTATTCCTCTTGCTGACGAGATTAATGCCAAAAAAGAAATAGAACACGAAACAACTGATTGACCATTCCAGTCTTTAAACAGGTTCATTTGTATGGAAAATAACTTCTCTTTTTCCAGCGAGATGCTCTGCTTACTCTGTAAGTCTGTACATCGACTGTCGTCAGTGGCGCGGAGACTGGACTAAAGTACCAAGAAAACGAGCGGTTCCCAAGCAATATAGTGGACGAACCGGATTCTACATTTTACCGGAGCTCTTGTCCAACTTTGTGCACGTTTGGTACATTTCCGAAGAACTTAAATTAGTAAGGAGAACTTTCAAGTTATTAAGAAAGCACTAGCGAAGCCGAAAGGCCCGTATTCGCTGCACTAAAAGGCGGATGACGTTGACAAGTGCTTGCTAGGAGTTTTCATATGGCAGAGAAAAATGACTGGACCAAGTTATCGAAAAAGGAGCTGCTTGAAATACTACAAAGACAGGAAAAGTTGCTGACAAATAAGTAAGCTTTTCTTATCAACTGGAAGTTGTGAACTACATGTTTAGGTCTTTATTCTGTAGTTCTTTTGGATGTCGTACATGTACCTGTTTTCAACCATTCGGATCATCTCTACTAAAGGCATCCGCGGTCGATCAATACTCGATTGATACTCCATCGACCCCTCGGTTAACCCTCGACAGACACTCCATTGACATCTCAGTCGATAGTCAGTTGACAGTCGACTAACTTTCAATAGATGTGTATGGGTCGGTCAATTGCAATACTAGCCCAACTATCGACTACTGTTGATCAAGTAGTTCGTATAGTGTGATCGTCCGGGTGAGTGTAGTTCTGAAAAGAACTGTTGTTGGTGACTCACCCGGACGATCACACTATACGAACTACTGATACTCCTGGGTTCAAACCATTTACTGTGTTGATCAAGTGTTGATCACGCGGCAGTTGAGATGTTGATTGAGTGTTGACTAAGTATTGATTAGGATGTCCATCAAGTGTCGAATAAGATGTCAATCAAGTGTCAATCGCAGGTCGATCAAGGGTATCGATCAACACTCCACGTATGTCCTATACACATGATCCTACCATTCTTGCAGTGCAGACCAACCTGTTTCCACTCCTGTTTAAACGAAACAAATGCAAATATCTTACCTAGTTTTCATCTTAGACTATCTCATCTGGAATCTCCTCTTTAATTGCTTGGCTGCTTTTAGTTTTGTCAAGAGATAAATTATGAGACAAGGTTATCCCAGTAATATCCCAGTCTTTTTTTGCACCCTTAATTAACCGCGCAGCCATGGGCCGAGCGTGGTTCATGTTCTACCTATGGCTTATTAATTTTTTTTTTGTTGGTGGCCAGACCCAAACTTCCTCTCTGCCAAATTTTGAATCATGCAACCTGTGAAGTTTATTCGCCAAAAGCTGTTGAAACATTATTACAAGAACAATGTTACGGATATTGCTTTCTTTATTTGTGTGTAAAATATATTTTGTTTTGGTTTCATTGAGGCGTTGGATTCAAAGGGAAACAATAAATACGCTAAAAATGCTAAAAAAGGGTATTACGTCAAACAAGATCATATTTACTTTGCAAGTTTATTTTCCGGAAGCGGTCATTAATTTATTTGCAATTTTGCGAGTATTTCTTGTGGGTTTCAGCACATGAAGCAAATTCTTTGGCTGTTTCACCACAGCGAGTTAAGAGATTTGAAGAAAAATTAAATATTTGCCGAGGTAAACAGAAGCTTGCCAGAACTTGCAACATTTAAGTCAGTGCTAGGGGAAAAAACACAACCACTCTAAAATTAGCCGTGGATAGCGTAAACCCTCTGATTGTGTGACTTGCGTGACTACTTCAAAGCACAAACAAATTAAATTTTGACTTTTCAGGAAGAAAGCTGTGTATTAAAAGCATTATTAAGGACGGTGCCTACTAAATACAAAAGTTTTTGCGCCAGGTTAAGACCTTGCAGAAAAAGTAGATCTTTGCAAGGTTTATCGGAATACACAAAGAAAAAAGAGGGTAGCCACGCATTTTTCCGAAATGATTAGCCTTGAATCTCAACAAAAATGCTGACATCAGCATTTTTCTGAAAAAAGAAGGAGAGGATATTTCTTCACAGCTTTCTTTAGAATTTGCCTTTACATAAATCTGAAAACTACATGGTAAATGGTAACATACAAACCGTTTTTGGTATGTTTTTAATAACAAAATCGTTGCAACAGCACTTTTAGCGTCTCTGACAGCCTTCCTCTGTTTCTGCTAAAATATAGTCTAGATATCTTTTGCTCACAACCAGAAGCTAATCACATGCTGAATAGGCTTTCCACTTCCACTTCATGACATAAAATATAGGGGTAACCGAGCATTTTTTAAAGTTATTGATCCTTTTTTAAACTTTTTACGGTGCCTGTTAAATTTTTTCCTGTCACCTCCCCAGTAAGTAAAACATTTGCATATCTCGCACTTGTTTTGCGCTCACACTACGCCATTTGCAGGTACATGTTTACAATTGGATTTCAGTATAATTTTTGACAGATAACAGCTAGTTTTTCAGCTGGAAGATGTTAACAAATAGTGGTTAGCGATATGCTGCTGTTCTGGTGTTCCTGGTTTAAGTACAGGTTCATTAAACTTTATTTGGTCACAGTAGGAAAATTTTGCTTTCAATTTAGTTGTGTACTTGGTAGCGTAGTTGATTGCGTCATGTCAACCCAAGGAGCATGTGGCGTTTAAACCATGCCTTGCGTGATGCGCAGAACGTGTGCACACTAACAAAAGTAGGCACCGTCCTTAAAAACGTGACACTTGTTTCCTTTTGTATCATTCATGGGCATATCCCAAGCGAACTTCCAGATTAAGACCATTACGTCATCATAGATTTCACAAATGCTAACAGTGATGTTGCAATAAGTTATAACACAGTTTGTGTTGATCAAGTGATGTGTTTACGGTAATCAATGAATCATCAAGGACTGCTTTGGAATGTGCACTGCATTGTGACTGTAGTATTAACAAAACAAAAAATTTTAAAAGTGCGGTTATAAGATCTAAAAGATCTTCTTGTTTTCCATGATTTATCCTTCATCTCTTTTCATAGGAAGTTCTTGCAAAGCCTCCCAGACAAAGGCAAAAAGGTATCAGAGACAGTGGAACGACTCAAGAAGCTAATTGCACAAAGAGAAAAGATTGAAGACACTATTGCAGAGTTTGAGAGGTTGACAGTGTCACAGCTTGTCCAGAGAACTCAACTTGACGCCTTGGACAGTGATGACAGTGATAATAATGATGATGATGACAAAATGCACACACATTCATGCACAGGAGACCCAGCTTCAAATGAGCAACACAGAGAAAAGACCAGCAAGGAGCACGGGAAAATGTCAGATGCAAACAAATCAAGAAATACACCATTCAGCTCACAGTCTCCAGGCAGGACATGGGATTACGAGTCATCAGCAACACCTCCAAGCTATAAGTTAGAGGTAATTAGTAGTGTTTATACGCTGTCCTATTTAGACACCTCCATTTTGGTGTTATAAACTGAAAACTATGGCAGAAAAAGTCTTTCAAGAAAAATGGGAGGCTTGGATAATTTTAGACCTATAGAGACAGATGAAACACAGAAAAACAAGATGTCATGACTAACCGTGAAGGATTCAGAGATATAATGTACATGTAATAATATAGTAATTTAGAAAACAGCCCTAAGAAAATACGTGTGCTGATTGGTTAAAAATCGTGTCTCTATAACTCGATAGAAACACAGAACTAGCACGAGCTGTTGATGTAATCATGGTGCATGCAAAGAGAATTTACATTTTGATGATCAAAGTAAACAAGTTGTTTTCGTTTTTTCTGTTGCGGTGTTTTCTAAAAGAATTAGAAAACATGTTCTCAGTGTTTCTATTGAGTTATAGAAACACTC